GGGATGTACCTGAAAATACGGTCAGAGCCTATGCTCTGAAATGATCAAAACAAAAGTTATTTTTTCCATTATCACATGAGTTTGGTTGTCTCTGAGGACTCGAATGATACATTATACAGGGTATTTCTTCTCGAATTCTTCTCTGACCGGACCTGAGCTGACGGCCTCCGGGTCCTGACCCACAGGTAAAGGGAGAGTTTTTCCCTTGGCTTTGGGCTCTGAAGCAGAGGGGGAGAGGCGAGAGATTGCTTGAGGATCGCAAAGGCTTCTTAACATTCGGCTTTCCACTCGAAGCATTTGAGTTTTCCAGGCACTTTGAAGAAAGGAGCGCACTTGTCTCTTGATTTTGAAATGAACCAGCTTAGCCAACCAATCGGGCTGTTAATTTTTGTATTTCTTTAGTGTTTATGGGGGATGATATATTGATGAGTGCTTGGATTTATTCGGGGTTGACTTTTATGCCCTCAGAAGTTAGTAAGTACTTCCGGAATTTGCTCGCCGAGGCTCCAAATGTAAATTTTAATGGATTCAACTTCATGTTAAATTTTTAAGTGTTTGAAAAGTTTTTTTAAAATCTTCTATATTTTATGCGACTGACCGACTCTTAACTAACACATCATCAACATACACCTTAATATTTTTTCTTTTGGTTTGTAAAGATTACCTTCATGAGGTGCTGGTAAGTCGCCCCAACATTCTTGAGCCTAAATGACATTACATTATAACAATAAATTTCTTCACTAGTAATAAAAGAAGTTTTTTCAACGTCAGCGACATGTATCTTAATTTGGTGGTACCCGGAGAATGCGTTGAGGAAACTTGGACCTGAATGACTGACCGCCAAGTCTACCAATGCGTCCATCCTTGGTAGCGGGTATGCATTCTTCGGATAAGCTGAATTCAAGTTAGTGAAGTCAACAAACATTCTCTATTTGCCATTTGCTATTTGCTATTTGACTTCTGCACCATCAAAATGTTGGAGATCCATGTGGGATACTACACTTCCTGGATGTAGCCATCGTCCTTCAACTTCTATACTTCCTCTCGGACAGGTCCTATTAGTTTTGTGGCCGAGCTCCCGATCTTTTGCTTTACCAGTCGAGCAGATGGGTCTACGTTCAGTCGATGGCATGCTGCCTCGATTAGTACACTAGGCATTTCAGCTGCCGTACAGGCAAAGATGTATCGATTTTCTCAGAGGGTCCGGATCAACAGTTCTCTGTGTACTGCATCAAAAGCTTCATTGATTAGGAAATATTTTTCCTAACTCCCCTTCGACGATTGAGATTTCAAGGGTGATCTCATTGGTCTTGAGGCCTTCTCTCAAATTCTGAATATCCAGAGGTCGTTCTCCACATTGCTTATGGCTCGAAGGTAACAAGTTCCCTCTCATCGTGATGACTTCTCTATCCCTAGAAACTTTGACCGCAACGTGGTTAGTAGAGACCATCTCTCTGAAGTTGTTGAGAAGCGGACAAACAATTATAAGTATTATACGTCGGTGGAGAATCCACCAAGAGGAAATCTTCTCTCGACGTGAACTATTTCTCATTTTACTCCCAACTAACTGTAAGCTTGATCATTCCGAGCGCTTTCTTTCTCACTCGAGAAATCGTATAATGGTTCAGCTGGTGCAATCATTCGGTTGGCGGTAAGACTTATTTTTTCAAACAACTGTTTAAACAACACATTGACAGAGCTCCTGATATTGATCAGGATGTTTCTCGCCTGATGATTATTGATCACTATTGTCACCACAATAGTGTCGTTGTGGGTGTTTTCTTTCTGGGGTAAATCCTCGTCCTTCAAATAGATGGGTGGATGGCTTTTTGGATTTTAGGTTGAAAGCAGCGGCACAAAGTTTCCCAGTGTGTTGCTTCTTTCGATTCACTCGCCGGGATGGTTTGGTCTCTCCAAATATGGCGGGTACAAATTCTGCAATGTGGATGGTGTTGGTGCGAATTGGTCCGTTCGGTGCTCCCCCGATTGGGGCCTTACACAACCTTTGAGTTACGGCTCCTGGGGCGACAAATTCCTTCAACTTTTCTTCTTTTAGTAGTTCCTCGATCAGGCCCCGGAGGCGTCTACACTCCTCTGTGTCATGACCGTGATCCCTGTGGTACTTACAACATTTTCTGTTATCTCGGAGAAAAGCACTGATTTTCATCGGTGGCGCTTTCTTGAAAAAAATTCTTATCTTGGAAGGCATCTACTATCTCCGCCATTGATACCCTCAGAGGAGTGGCCTAAGGGACTTCGTGATCAACTGCGGTCTTTCGTGGTACTGAGTCGGTTGCTTATGATATTAGACCAACCGTTGATTTCGAGTCTTCTCTCGTCTTCTTTGGTCGTCTTGATGATGAGTTGTGTTATTGCGGGGGTGACTTTCATAGCGTGGACGGACGGGTGGTCGTGCGTTCACCCTTGGTTTCCACCCATTTCTTTGCGATGGTCGCTTCTGGTTTTTTTTTTGTCGGAGGGCTTGGGGCATTTTCATATGCATCGATATATTTGTTAGCCATCTCTAGCAACTTGGCCAAGCTCCGGGGCTCCGCATGGTCGAGGTCAAAATGAAATCTCTCTGATCTCAATCCCTGCATTAGAGCGGCCTACTCCATATCAGGTGTCAATGTCTTTCCACCATCGGGGCGGTTCCGACGCTGTCTCCGGTAGATGGTTTGTCTCTTCTCATTATGCGGGTGTTGTGAAAGTGGTTCTTGATGGGCACACTCCTTCTAGGATGGGGACTGCTCCAAGGACCTCTGCTAATTGTCCCTACATTTGATTCGTGATCTGAGTTCTTAGATCTTGCAGTCTCTGTTGGGCAAATCCTTGCACGAATTCTCTAGTACACCCTACCTCCACTACGTCTCTTTGACTAGTTTCTCCCTGTTGTTGTTGTTGTTGTTGTTGTACTCCTTTTTTGTTGATGACATTATGTCATGCTCACTGCACCTAAAAGAATGTTGAGTCCAAAATGTGTTTAGGAATCACACCCAAGGAATAGAGCGTACGCTGAGCAGAGCTAAGAGATGAAACTAGTGGTTAACACTGGAGCGTAACCTTTTTATCGTAAAATGATCTCTATTTATAGACATAGGGGCATGAACTTTACAATTAAAAACTTGGCCTCTAATCATTAACTTCTTAGGTGTTCTTTTGGTAAATTACTGGAGAAATATAATAGAATAACAAGTGATATTGTCTGAATGACATTAGGTAGGACGATCGTTCAAATCCTAGTCAATTGCTTACCTTCAGGTCACTACGTCAGTAGTCGATCGATAGTGATTTCGCTACTTGATCGATTATATCTCAAGGTGAACTGTCTGGCCTGCCTTTGGATGACTTTCTGACCCTGGGGTTGTTGACCGATCAGATAATTTTATGTATGACCAATCGGCCAATCCTCCATAGAATCATCCATTCTTCTTTGGTCGCCGCCGTATTCGTGTTGTGTTCTTAGACGGTCGCTCTACCTTCCAACGATTTGGCATAACTTTATGTTGCTCCGGCTTCCTTCAATAGTTTAAGGATGTTTAATCCAATAGTTGCGAGAGTCTACTTTTATGAAAACTATTTAGTAGTCCTTTTGGAACGTTGACTTAGGTAGTTTTCCATTAAGAACTTTTACGAATTTAATTTTTTTTTATTGGATAAAAAGTAATTAATTATATTTATTTTAAGTATTCTTTATGAGATTAGATTCTTACATCATAATTTTAAGAAATTTTTATTAATATTCATTTTTGCCATTCGTTAACTTATATCTGTTCCATAAATTTTCTTAAACAAACAGACAAACTCTTACATTACTTTATAAAGCAATTTTCATATGATCTTACTGAAAAAATATATGCTTCATAGCACAACATAACACAAAACAGAGATATGATATGAAGCCTTAGTCTATCCCCAACCTTATCATTTTTAAGAGTATCGTTGTTATCATTTTTCTTCTAGCAGCTCTACCGAACTATGGGAAAGCATCTGTTCAAGAGGTGAATTTTGTTTCTTGAATTTCTCACATGCTTTGCATTAATTATGGGTCTGATATGAATTAAGCAGGCTTAATAATTTACTATTATGAATTCTATATTATTTCTTTGTGGTGCATTGTTGTATGTCAATTATGCAGTTATCTTAAAAGATTAAATTTCATCAAGCTCAGTTCTTATAGCTGGCTGTACATATTGGGTCATGGGTGTAACAGTTGGCATCTACTTTTTCCATTTAAATTTGAAAGTAGGGCTGCAAATGAGCCAACTCGGAGGCTATTCGGGTTGAAGTCATTTACCAAAAGCATGTTCAAGCTTGGCTAATGCTTGATTTGAGATGTTGTGATATTGTTCATGCTCTGTTAATTTGACTATATTTTGTTTGAGCTTGGTCTTATATCGAGTCATAATCAAGCTTTGTATCGGTCTTATATCGAGCTTTAATTGTGTTTTTAAAGGGTTTATTCATGAGCTTTAAATAATATTGTTCACTATCATAAATGAATTAAGCAATAAAGATATTCAAGCTTGTTCATTTAACATTTAAATATTTATCAAAATGTTCATGCCTGTCAATAGTTAATCGAGCGAACATGATGAGCATTTATCAAGCTGAGTCATGAGTAACTTGTCGAATGGTTTGTTCATTTGTGACTATTTAAAGGTGCTTTACTCCAGGTAAGACTATGAATGACTTTTTATTCTTTTTTTTAAGTATTATACTTAGTTTTAGAAGTACAAATTCCAACTTGCTGTCCACATTTTGTTCGATGCTTGTTTATCCCATCTTTAATACTTTAACCAGCCTTTACTTTTCTTTTTTAACATGATACATTTAACTGTGCCCGTCTGAGTTGATTTCTATGAGTTTGGACTATACTTGCTCGATGTTGTATAATACTGTTAGCTTTCAGACTTTTGCAATACCATAGCCGCGAAGCGTGCTTCTTCAACTCTGTTGATCTGATCTGATTGGATGACTGTTTATTAGCTTTTGTGTAGTCTGCAGGTCTTCCTTGGACAGTAGCTAAAGGGCAGGACACCTTCACCCCAATAAGTGCTGTCGTAAGAAACCATGATTTCTAACTTTTTCTTAATAATATGTTTTAAAGTTAATTATAGATATAATGCTAAGCTTTTCGAGGCACAATAACATGTGCTTAGGTATTGTTTAATATTAGTTCTATCCTCATTAATTACTTTTAGGCAAGTTACTATTGCTATTGTTATTCTGTTATATACCATTCAACTTGATTCTATTGATGCACCTTTCATCTATGCTTTTCTTAAGTTTATCTTTTGCGACATTATCTTCATTAAGTAGCTTCACTATCCTTATCCTACTAGTGATGTTTGATTTATTATTACTTATTTGTTCACTTCCTTTGAGTGCACATGTCTTACTAACTATTATCATAATATTCAGTCAAGCTTTTTGGTCTACGCTTCCATTTCCTTGTCTCTCATATCGATTATATATCTAATCACATGATTCATATTTAGCTCTATTTTCACATGTTTAACTTATGTAAGTTTATTTTGTGCCACCATAATCTCCATAAGTGTTACTCTCACATCTTTTGAAATACAAGTTCCTCATTTTAATATAAATGTTTTTGCACAACTTATTCTTGAGCAGCATTTTGGCATCATTTATTGGAATAAAGTAGTGTGAAGAGATAATCATTGCTTATGTTTACTTGTATCATGGTGATAGGAAAGTAACGAGTTTCCACATAAAATAAGGCAAACAAAATATTTTACTTTCCCAACACTGATCAACACAAGCCGAATATATAAAAAATAAACACCCACAATTCGAGAGGTAGGTGTTCTCTCGCATATCCTAAACCTAAGATTCAAGACAACAAGCACACATACCCTAACCCTAGACATATTAAGCTATATTTACACCCCACAATAATATGACTAAATTCCTTTTTTGACTTGCGCCTTTTCAAATTATTTAGCGGCCGACACCATAGGCTCCTGTCTAACATTACTCCCCATCCACAAAGGCACCTTGCCTTCAAGGTGGAAGGGAGAAAATTGTTGCTGGATCAAGTCGTATGTCTCTCATGCGGCATCATAATCTAGCAATCCTTTCATTTAATCAACACTTTTTTCCTACTTGTCAATTTTTTGTGCATTATTTTTAACTCAAGTGGCTCCAAGTGAATTTTCATTGCATTTATATCTTTAACCAATTGAACTAATTCTGTAGTTTCTTCCAATCCTCACAGTCTCAGCATACGAAACCCTACTTGAATTTTTGGCTTCAAGCCTTTGATGAAGTTTTCTTCCAACTTTTTTTTTTGATATCCCTCTAAAATTATCAAAATATCGAACTTCTACGTATAATCCATGACAGATCATTCTTTAACCAATTCAAAAAATTCTTGTATAAATCCCTTTTCTGCGTGTTTCTGAAACGGGCCAACAATCGGTCTTTGAATTTTTTTTTCATGTTTTGATTGAATGACTTTTTTCTCTTCATAGATACCATACTTGAGCTTTCTCTTCCAAACGCAAGGCCGTCCCCATCAAATTTTTTTCATTCGTCAGCCCATCAATAGCAAAATATCTTTCCACTCGATAAACGCAACTATAACATCTTTTCTTATAATGATTGACATCTTCAACTTCCTTTTGCATGATTATCCTCCCCAATTTCCTCGACATGAAAAAGGAGTTTTTTTTCGCTTGCTCGACCTACATTGTTTTTCCTTCTTTCGTAAGTGTAGCTCACCCCATAATCAATTAACTCGTCACCATAGGCTCTTGAATCAAATTTCGCTTGGAAGGTTGCCCCAACAAAAGACACTGGTGCGGTTGGATGCATCCCTCCACCGGGGTTCAACCCATTGTGGTTCCCTGTTCAGGCTGAAATCCTTTTAATTGATCTTCTCTAGCCTCGAATTCCAACTCGTCCCTTTTTGTTTGTTGCTGCTCATTCCAAACCTCTAGATGTCGTGCAATTCCCTCTAGATGTTGCTGCTCAAATCCGCTTTGGACTCTTTCACTCGACGCTGCCTACTTCTATTCATTCTAGCCATTTGAATGTTGCACTATTTCTTTCAAGTGTTGCCTCTCGAGTTTGCCTTCGATTCCTTCACTCAATCCCGTGGCTCCAAATCCGTCTAAGGCATCGCATAAATCCTTCTAATTATTGTTGTCCGCGTCTGCTCAAGATGTCCTTGCTCAATCTTGCACTGAGCGAAGATGGGTGTGCACGAAACTCAACGATTTTCTGCATCATTTCTTCTAGGACCATGAATCTCCCCTCCATGGACAAGAACTTCTCCATGGATGAGAAACACTCAATTTTAGATATGATTTGACTCATCTCTCCCTTTAATTTCTCCTCCAGAGCATCCACTTTCTTGGCTGCCATTACTTTTAGTACAATTTTTTATAACAAACGTGGAACTCCTATACGTCGCGATCCCATCTTCGGCTCCCCAACTAGCTCGAGTCGTGACTGTATCGCGAGGTCTGGTCACGAAGGCAACTGTATCACGAGGTTTAGCCATGAAGGTGATCTCATCGATATGGAATGTATTGTGATTCCGTCATTTGCTTCCCAGCTAGCTTGAATCGTGATGTTGGGTCACGAAGGCGCGATCCCGTTGTTGGCTTTCAGCTAGCTTGAATCACGATGTCCGATCACGAAGGCGACAACCACATGACATAACCTATATGCCACGATCTCTTTGTTGGCTTCCTAGCTAGGTTGAATCATGACTCTATCATGATATTCGGTCACGAAGACGGAACCCTGTACTTCGTGATCCTGTCGCTGGCTTCCCAGCTATTGTATCGCAATTACTCCCACGACGTTGCTCTTATATCAATTTGATAGAAAAGAGATGAGTTTCCACAGAAATTAGGGCAAAAAAAAATATTTTACCTCACCAACACTGAACAACACAACCTGAAATACATTATAGAGAAACACCCACAATTCAAGAGCTAGGTGATTTCTTTCAAAACTTAATCCTAAGATTCAAGGCAACAATCGCAGATAACTTAATCCTAGACATATTAAACCTTATTTATACCCTATAATAATAACTAATAATTGAATAGATTGCCCTTTTTTTGTCTTGCACTTTTTAAAATTATTTGGTGACCGGTGCCATAGGCGCTGGTCTTACACAGTTATTTAATGACTGTATGGTTGAGAACATGGAACTTGAATTTAACGGGAGAAAATAGGTTTTTGAGTTTCATCCTTCTACATCCACTGATAATTGTCAGTGACAATTTTAAGTTCTCTTCTTTCTGTAACCTCACTTTGTTTTCTTCTACAGCTGCCAAAATCTATGATCAAGGACCCAGATAATCTGGAATTGTGGTTGAAGGTACTTGCTTAACTTTTCAATGCTTCATTTTTCATCTGAGAATACTATAATTATGTTGTAGGTTTCCGATTTCATTAAAGTTTGACTTCATTATATTTTATTAGGTGGATGAGGAAATCAGACAAAAAGGCTCAACAAGGGATATGCTATTCAAGATACCTTTCTTGATTAGCCATATAAGTTCTATTATGACTCTAATGGAAGGAGACGTTATATTAACGGGTAAGTCATTTGATAATTATACTGAATAGAGGCTATTTATATGTAAGTTGAGAAGGAAAATTGATTTGTTGAATTTCGGAACAAGGTCGCATCACTCTCTTAGTCATTGGATTCTCAAAGTTATGCATGAAACGTTGTTTTAGTAAAGTGTGTTCTTAGGTAACCTTGTAATGATATTTTTGTGTGGATGTCAAGGGCATGCCCAGTACATGCAGTTTCTACTAATATAGCTGTGAGTTCTTGAAAGAAGGCTATAATAGATTTGTACAAATCAAAGTGTTACTTTCAGAAGGATTGATTTAGCTAGATTTTACCTGTTGTATCTGCTTTTTAGTTTGAATGGGAGTCGAGGCTTCCTATGGGTGAGGTCTCTTATAGTTAATTATTTCTTATATTTGGGAGTGCAGTCTGGATTAAGGAAGCCTTTAAGCTTAATATTTTATGCTTTGGCAGATCGTATCCTATAAATTATTGTTCCTTTGCATCATTTTATATATAAGGAAATGGTTTTGAAAATGAAGTTAAAATCTATCAAAATCCTATGTCGAGGCTCCGAAGGGTCAAGAGCCAGTTGGAAGTTGTGCTGTAGTTGCGAATGTCTTTTCGGAAGTTGACTGACCATTTGATCTGAGGCAGCACGTCTATTACTCTTTAAGATAACTTCAACGACCTTAAGCAAGAATAGTTCGCATCTTATTTGAAACCATGACTTTATCTATGATAATCTTGTAAGGCCCAGGTTACAGTATGTTAGGGGACATAATTTTTTGTGATGAAACCTTAAATTTGCTTTCTTGGTAGGAGCTTGTCATACTCGTCAAGTAAATAGCTTAATAGCATTTAGCATAGCTAATGGTGGTTCAGGGTTAATGAATATGAACAATGACAGATTGGAGACAGGACATGATTAATCGTGTTTTAGTGGTAATGGACGTTGATTTGTGATGGATCAGAACCATACCATGAAATGGACAATCATAGTTTAGTGGTACTAAACATGATTGATAAAGTTTTAGGAGCATTGCTTGACTAATTCAGTCATATAATATTAGCCTAGGTTCAATTTGAATAGGGGTTGCTCTTTGATGACAAATTTGGTTTGGGTTTACAATGATTATGTGGCGATATGAAGCCTTTGTGGCTTGGGAGATTTTCTATAATGATATCATTTCTTAGGGTTGGAGTTTGTTGCCATTTGGGTGCATGATGTTTTAGCATGCATTCCAATGTGATGCAACTATTTATGAAAGTTGTAACATGTTCATCAAGATGATCGGTTGGCTTGGATCCTGAAGAATTCTAAGAGCCAGATGAGTCAAATTTAAGCTCTCAGCTAACATTGTTTGATGAGTAGGGTTAGCATTTGGACAAAGTAATTTTTGAACATTCACGCTCATTCATTTTGAATGAGTTGCCTCAAGGCAAATTCTGTGTGGCTTTCAGTGGCCTGGAGGCAATTCATTGTATTTTATAATTCGCCTCATGTTTTGATTACATATTCAAAGAGCTCTCTAGCCATTCGGCATCAAAGGAGCATTTTGTTAATTTACTATCTTCAGAGGCATTATAGTCATGTTTGGTTCCCTTCGGTCATCATGGAGGCCATGCATATGTTCATGCTTATTTGGATTTCTGAGGTTCACCGACAGGAATATTGATGTGTTGTCATAGATATTAAAGCTTTTATTTATTTTTGAAATTGTTCTTGAATATTTTTTGGAGTGTTTGATCCTTTTATGTGCTTTCAAAGTAAGTATGAAGTTTAATAGGTTATCATGCTTTTCGAGACGATACAAGATCTAAAGCTAGTCATCAGTTGAACCTGTTGTTCGGTCAAACATCATGATTTTGACCTCTGGGTAATTTTCAGATTTTTAATTTTATATTTTTCTTTATATTTCAATGTCCTTGAAAATAATAAATTACACTTTAGATATTTATTTAATATTTTTTTTCATGGGCATTCTTGAAAAATGTCAAAATTAATCAAGAATTTTAACAATTATTTTATATTTTTTAGCAATATAATCATTTTGTGCTTTATTTTAATCTTATTTAGATAAGCCCAATGTGTTTAGATTTATTCAATTATTTAACAATTCCGTGAATTTTAGGAGGGTTGTTTTTGCAATTTCAGAAGCTTATAGGAGTTGTTCTTTGTAATTTATTGTTGTTTTAAGTCATTTGTTCGAGTCAACCCAGCTTTACACGTGTGATGCTATGATTGTGCCGCTAATTATCACAACCCTGTAGAGAGACATGCCTAACACAGATTATGGCTTCTAGTTTTGTGATTGAGCAAAAAATTGAAAGAAGATTGAAATTCGACTCCAAAGGCATCATTAGTAATCTAGAGCGTGAACTTATTGGCCAATAGATAATAGCTCTAAGGACAAAGTGCTCTCACTATAGCATAGACATTCTTTTCATAGGAAATTTTCTTACTCCAAGTCGTTTAACTTTTCATTAAAAAAAGGTGATGTTGTGTCCAACACCAATTCTAATACTCGAGGCATCATACTTAATTATAAACACCTGGTTAAAATCTGGAAGAGTTGAGGCATGAGTCATTTGTCCAAGTCAACCCAGCTTTACATGTGTCATCTTATGATTGTGCGGCTAATTATCACAACCCGATAGCGGGACATGCCTAACACATTCTGGCTTCAAGTTTTTTGCTTGAGCCAAAAATGAGAGAAGATAGAAATTCCGCTCCAAAGGCGTCATTATCAATCTAGAGGCTGAACTTATTGGCTAATAGATGATAGCTCTAATGACAAAAAGCTCTCACTATAGCATAGACGTTCTCGTCATAGGTAAAATTTTTGCTTTGAGTTGTTTAGCTTTTCATTGAAATTCGAGGCATCATACTTAATTATAAACGCCTGAATAAAATCTGGAAGAGCTGGGACATGAGCCTGAGTAAAATTGTTCTTTAAAGCGTTAAAACAGCCCCAGTCTTCATCTGACCACAAAAATCTATCTGCCTTGAGGATTTTTGTCAGAGGTGCTGCTGTTGAACTAAATTTTCTTATGAAACTTCTATAGAATGATATCAATCTTTGGAACTCGCCCACTTGAATGAATGACTGAAGACTTGAATAGGTCATGATAGCTTCTACCTTATAAGTATTATAAGATTTTAGAAAGGCAGCACTTTCTCTGTTAGTAATATAAGCTTCCCATGATAGTGAAAGTTGTTTATGAAGCTATGTATAGCTTGACGCTCATTGAACCTGAAATAAGTTACTCGAACCATTTTACTTTCTCTGTTAGTAAATCTCTGTGACCTTGAACACTTTCTTCATATTTCCTAGAACAATATTAGCTTTTCCAGTTCTTTTGATTTACCTTCTCATTATGAACAAACTCACAATAGCTTGGTTTGAGCATCGTTTGAGTTTTGCATGATTTCTTTTAATCTCGAATACGAGTAAATGTTTGATAGACGCCACACATAACAGAGGAAACAAGCTGACTCATAATATCTAGATTAAATCTTGGGCTAGGTTGGTTTTAAAATTTTTGCAATATAAATTTTGCTTGATTCTCATTTCATCTAAAAATAATTACAACATTTTTGAAGCCCATTTTTTATAAAGTTGGTCATCATGTTGTGATAATAAAACTTCTCCTGCGTGTAATGAATCATACATGGGGACTTGGCAATACAGAGGGAAAAAAATTCTAGTGTGATAAAGAGATCCCCTCATCACTTTCTATCATAACTCTATTATAATTAAGGTTTCTCTATCCGAGAGTAATTTCGCTGGCCGGAACTACTCTGAACAACTCCGAACACTTAGGCAAGGAACACAACCATTCGAACTCTGCTGCTCCGTTGGTCATCTCCATCTTAGCCGATCTGCGGGAGATGGCGATGTTAAAGAGATAATGTCGGCGAAAAAATCGATATCGCGAATATTTGTGGTGGTGCTGCTGGATAGTGTTAAGTATGTCACTTACTCATGTGTTCTTCCTTTCATGAGCCCTAGTCCTCATCTTGTAAACTGACTGCTTGGGAGCAGCAGGAAAGGTGGGGGAAGAAATGAGGCTCTTTTTTGCTTGGGGAAGAAATGAGGCTTTTTTTTGCTTGAATTGACTATTAGGTATGTTAACCCTCTTCCTTTTCAATATTTTTGGGATGATTTTGCACGCAAAAAAAAATAAAAATAAAATAAAAATAAAATAAATAAATAAATATATGTATAAAATATTGGGGCATTTACATAAAAATACCAGTCAATTCATATGTATTTATATATCTACCGGCTAAACTTTTTTGTTTTACTTTTAAACCACCAAAACTTTCCTATCACAAAAAATATCACCAAAATACATCCTTTCATACAATGGTAAAAGTAAGTATGTAAAAATTAAATTTAGATGTTTAGTATGTATAGGAATTGATCATTTTAAGATTTTATTTCCATGCAGGTACACCTCCGGGCGTAGGGCCGGTGAGGATTGGGCAAAAGATCACAGCAGGCATTACAGGTTTTATCGACGCCCATTTTGACATTCAGAGGCGCCAAAAGACAAGCGATTAGCAGCCGAAAAGCCACACAAGTTAAACCACAACCTGCTGCTTTTTATCTGTTGCACCATCCCTGTAATTGCGTCACTGATTTGGCTGCCACAATGAAGTGGATGTAACAAAGGAGTATCAGTAATTCTCTGCCTGCTGCTGACAAATATAATAATTTGGAAACAAAGTAAGGTAAGCTCTTGATTGAAAATTTTCTAGTTGTCCAATTATTTGCTATACATTTTTTAGTTATTGTTTTTTGAAGTATCTACTTAATAATTAGAAATTAATCAAATATAAAATTTCATGATAAGCTTAATATAAATTTGTAATAAAATCCAATGATGTGACATTCTGATAAAAAATTTATTACTAGCATCTGACAGTTCTCTCCTAGTTTTTTGTTTTACTGTCTAGAGGAACAATATGATGATGTTTCCTTCTTTATAATGAAAAGCTTCAGGCATTGTCATATTTCGAAATTACTCCTTGATTGCGCATAAAAGGGATGATTGAAGAATCTGAAACAAATGGTTGGAAATTAAATTACATCAAAACAGAAAAAACCCTGAGGAAGAATTTGCCTGGACAAGTAAATGTGCTACATGCTTGAGCATCTTTCGCTCTATACTCTCATAATTATAACTATGTCCATGAAGATTTTTTCTTTTTTTTTTTAAAGATAAATTTAGTTGTTTCAACTTTATAGCAAATCTAGCAAAGTTTGATCCAAATGACAACCAATATTGAGCAGAAGATTGAACAAAATTGAAGGCAAAATAGGGCTCAAAATGGAGCTAGATTTTTGTGCAAAGTTTAGGGTTAGGCCAAAGTGTAGCTTGAACCAGCTTGAAGTTTATTCTTTCATGGTTATTTTTGAGTTGATTATTAGGACCCTGGGTTGTGAACTTGAGCCAATTGTTGTATGATTGCTATTTTTCTTTCCTTTTTCTATCGGACTATTTACGAAAAAATTTTCCATACGCTGTCCACACGGTGAGCACCGTGCGGATAGCTGCTGCGATTCGCCCGTCGAGGCAAGAAAAAAAAAACAACCGCCGCGAACGTTTGGAAAAATTTCTCGTTATTTATATACGTAACACTCAAATTTCAAGTATTTATATATTTAACACTAAATTTTTTATATTTATATCAACCAAAATTTTCATGTCATTTAAACATATATAACTATTGTAATTTTAAAAAGTGAAACATTTTTTTTTTTGTAGGTAAGATGACATGAAATATATGTGCAAGAATTGGAGATTGTGTTAGATATTTAAATAGGTAGGAATTGAGTTATATGTATGTAATTTTTTTTTTAAATGGAAAAGGATGGGTGATATATTATGATCAATTTTGTCAGCATTAGCAACTTTAATTGACTTGTGACGTGCAATTTATTCTCATATGGTATATAATCATATGGCAAATGATATTAAATATCTTAAAAAGAGACGGTTGTCTTTTAACATTTATTATTTTTTTATGGATTGTACGAAAAATTGATTCATAAATTATGGGTCCGTTTGGGAAGGCGGTGTAGTGGTGGTGCGACACCGTACCACAGTTTTGTCTATTTAGGTAAATAGTGTTTTGACAATTTTTTCAAAAAACTATCACTGAAATCAGTATTTTCTCACCACTCATGGCCAGGTGCGGTGATAACTTTCTAATTGCGGTCTAACTTAAAAAAAAAAATGTAATAACCATCACAGCTTTTTGAATAATCAATTTCTTCGGATTATTGTTCAGCAGTTTCATAATTATCTTTTAATAAGTTATAGCTGCCTCAAACAGAACTTTAGTCTTTTTTGAGGTAATTAATTTACTTGCTGATGTTGTCAGCGTAAAATGTGGGTCTCGAAGTCGGGGACTTTACCACTAACAAATAAGCAACCATATGATTTAATAAATTTATATTGTTGTTAAATTATTGCTTGTATTATAGAAATTTCTATTTCACCTTTTATGACCCCTCGTGGTGAATTTATTAAATGATTTAATATTTAGTATTGGCATGGATGCCGCACCAATTTTTTTATCATTGTTTTTTGTTCTTAAATCAAAATCACATCATTTTATCATTATACTAATTAACTATTATAATTAAAATCTCACGTGTTAATTTTTGGACCTCATCCGAATATACACATTTTGGTCATTATAAACTGACTTTATGGATTAAGTTAGGTTAGGTTCCAAATACCTTCACACATTTATGCATGAAATAATTGTCATTAGGTAAACCCATTGTCAAATGAAATAAATTAAAGTACAATAATTCATGCTTAGTCTTGTTAGAATTGGTGTTTGACCTTAATATCCTTAATCATCCAATTATGAGATCACATTTGAAAATTTGGGCTTTCGTCCATGAATACTCTATTGAAAATTTCCAACAATAATCAAAAAGTTTTGAAGTTGTTAGTGTTAGGTTTGTCAGCATCAACAGCTGTCCACAGTTGATTTGATGGAACAACTTTCTCCATAATACAATAATAAGATTGCATGATCAATCTATATCTAAAAAAACTCATTTTTAGCTAAATATCTAGTAAAAATTATCAACTTTAACAAAAGATCATGCAAAAGATCATGAAAAAAAAAAACAAAAAGTAAAATCATATGGCAAAAACAATCAGAATTTAGAAAACTGGGGCTTTGGTTTTCTTGTCCAGCAGTCAGATCTTACCTCATAAACTGGCGACTCTTGTCCCCGAGCCGTGCAAGGCTCGGAGAAGGAATGCGCCGGCGACACTTTCGTCAACTCCGTCGTCTGTCGTCGGTAAGGATAATTCGAAAAACTGATGGGATCAAACAGGGGTGATTCCCTTCCGATCTTATTCATGGTGGCTTGAAGGCAAGACTCGATCACCCGGCATTCTTCTCTTAATTTGATCTGAACTTGCTTCAATTTTTGCAGAATATGGTTTTTCCTCGCTCGTTCGATCAATGATTGTTGTCTTCTGAGCTTCGGCTTGTTTTTGTTGTTGTTGTTGTCTACTTCCTCTTCTTTTTTCTTGCTGGTGTTGCTTTTACTAATTTTGATGTTATTGGAGGTCTTCTTATGGCGTTCAGATTGCCATTTTAGATAGCAATCTTTGCAGAAGTTGCTGCTTCTCTCGCCATTAAAGATTTTTCTTCGAGCTTTGTCAGAAAGACAGGAATATGCCTGAGTGGGAAAGAGAAAGATAACAAACTGAAACTTTCTGTGGCAAACTTTGATTCAACAAGCAGTGCTTGAAGGACTTTGAAGCAGCAAGGAAGAAATTAGTTTAGCTTCATCATTATTATTGAAACAATAAGAATTTCTTGTCTACAAAATTATAAACAAAATGATATCTTTTTTAGTTATTAGTACGGTTGAGCTTACTGTAAATCCAAGTTCTAATACAAAATTTCCGAATTTTTCAATCTAAATCCCAAATTTACTAAATCCAATCCTGAGGTGAATTTAAGGACCCCGAGCTTCGTCGCAGAGGACAAGAAGATCGAAGGGTACGCCTGCTCGCCTATCGCCACACTTTGCCTTTGACGTCGTCGCATTCCGGAAGTCGCCTACAACACTCCCGCTCTCCCGGTTTCGTCGAAAACCATCACCTTCATGAATGAACCCTTCGCGATACAGTCCGATTAGAGGGAACAGGGAAGGCCAGTAGGCTGGTGGCGGCAGCATACTTAATATATATATAGTAATCAGATATTTTAACTTCCAACTAGAAACAAATGCCAAACACAAATTGTGGATTTAATGGAAGTAATACCAAATATAAAAAGTTGAATTTAGCATAAGTGGGAAGTTAAATCCAAGAGGGTGCCAAACACCCCCTAACTCAAGCAACAACACATTCACTTCCATTTACCCGAACTGAACTTTCTGATAAACAATAATTGCAGTAAATAGATAATGAAATATTTTCCATTTAACTCTATATAAATCTCTCTTCGCCAGAAGAAGAATGGAGCTAAAGAGAAAAGTTCACCTCTGAGATCAGCTTGAATGCCACCTCTGCTTTTGGGTGATTATTCTTATCTGGATGCAACTGCAATGCTACATAGGATTTCCAGTAAAAACACAAATCATTAAGTAAACAAAGATGAAAAACAGAGATGTGATTAAATTTAGCACATACCAAGTTGTCTATATCGCCGCCGAATCACATCCAGACCAGAATCCTCATCAACCTTGCACCATTTCACAGAACCTCATTCAAATAAAATCATAATCCAAGCCAGAACAATGCAGAGAATTTACAGAAAACTGAGCTAAAATAAAAGAAATTCAGATTTACATTGAGAATAAGGTACCAATCAATGAGCACTTTTTCCCTGTCATTGGAGCAGAGATGCTTACAGGAAGCGAACGCCGTAGCCATGAAGCAGATCTCCTTCACAAGCTCTGCCTTCTCTTCCACCTCTCTCCTCCCCATTTTCTCTTCTGTTTCTCAGACAGCAAGCTTAAGATTTATTTATAATCATAATTAATTAAAAAAAAATCATTTTTTGGTTTATTAAAGTCTTATTAAACAACTGGATTTGTAGACCATAGATTAGGGTGTAGGGGAAGGAGCGGTTTGAGTTTTGGGGAATTTCAAAGGGGGAAGGCGCGGCGTTTGCGGTGCAGATTTTGAAAAGAGAGTGAAGCAGGCAGAGGAGATGATTTGGTTGGGGGAGAATTGGAGAAGTTACCGTTTGTTTAGGCACGTAGGTTCCACGTGACGAGTTCCCCGTACAGCCATTTCCTGATCGTTTCGGAGTAGGAATACTTCCTAAGGCTTCTTGTGACCGGTTACTGTGGGTAAACCTCGGGTGGTCCTCGGCGTGACTGGTGATCACCGGTGAGGATTAAGTAAGAAGAGCTTGGGTTGCTTTTCCCGGCGTTCTACCCTTTCCCATGTGCTTTTTCTCATTTTCAATTTTGTGAAAATCAGGAGCTCTCGTTTTGCGTACGTAAGACATACGTAGTGTTGCGTATGTCAGGGAGGATATTCATAAAGTAATTGGGAGTTATATTCGCGTTATACTTCTTGTAATCTCCTTGTAACCTACTTGTAACTTACATATATATTGTAAGTTCCGCATTTCTGTTTTCATATATTTGTATGTTGCAGGTAGGTTACAAGGAGGTTATAGAGGATATAACGCGAATATAACCCCTCAATATCCTATGAATAACCTCCCTAACGTACGCAGCGATGCATACGTAAGACATGAATATAAACCATTTGCTGACCATACTTTTTTTTATATCTTGAGTTTTAAGTTCAAGTATACATGAATCCCACAAAAAATTGGACAATTCAAATTTTATACCCAAACACGACCCGAAAGTTAATGACATCAACCTAAATTAAAATTTTTGAGTCGAGGCTATATCAAGTTGTTTATTGACGCCTCTTGTCAAGTACACTTATGATTTTGACATAAAAGATGTCTACTTTTAAATCAAATGTAAAATAATATGATTCTTTTTAATTTTTTATTTTATTTAATTTTTTTTTTTGTGGTGGAAAATTTGAGGGTCAAGCCGAACCAATTTGTATGTCAAAAGAGAGATAAGAATTGAAACATATATAAACTTGAAATGTAATCAAATTCAAATTTAAATTTTCCCTAAAAGAAAAGTTATGGTTTAAGATGTTGAGTTCATAGGATGGAAGAATTCGATAAAACTTGAAGTGCACATATATGATGATATTTCGTTACATGTAGCGATGGTTTCAATCGAATAATCACGATTAAATAAATTTCATTGATCATAATTTTTGATATAATGATCATTAGGGTGTTCAACCAAAGAAATATGATCAGTTTGAGACAGCTGCAACTTCTCAGTTTTTCAACTGCAGCTGCGCTGCCCCAAAATATTGCTGCTGAAAAGTTAACTGACTGTTTGTTTCAGTTGATTGAAAACAGTTATGTGATAGTTGTTTCTGGACAAATGATTTTTCTGTCAATGTTTAGCAATATTGTTTATAATAGAACTGCCGTAGTCATTATTATGATACTTCAGAAGTAGAAATTTACTTTAGAACATTAAAAAATTTAGATACACTCTTCATTTAACAACAAGTACCAAGAGTGGGATGTGCATAAACAAATTTATAGAAACTAAATGGTATGTAGGTAAACTAATGTATAGTAATTGAAAGGTATATATGTAAATTAGTTCATAAAAATTGAATGTTATGTATGTAAACAACTACATAACATTGGAGTGGTATGTTTATAATTTTTTTTTTAATTTTACGCAAATACATAGAAATTAGGTGATATGTACATAAATCTTTTTTTTTCTTTCTTTTTCTTTTTTATGTTTTTGCTTTGTCAAAGGGAGGAAGGCTCGCCGGCGGGAAGCTTGCTGGAGGGGGAAGAGGGCTCGGCTTTTTCGGCCGAGGAGGATGAGTGACGTTGGTGAGTTGGAGCTGCTCGGTTGGAGGCTTTATAGGGAGCGGAGGAGTTCAGACTAGTGATTGGAGTGAAGAAGGGGTGACAACTCTCGGGAAGGATGAAGGAGATGTCTTGGTTGAGTGTGGGAGGAGAAGAGACGCTAGGGCAACAGATGCTCGATCACGAGAGAATGGGGAGCGCAGGGCAAAGGAGGTGAACGCCGCTCGATAACACGGGCCCGCGGGGTTGATCCAACGGCCCACGTTTCGCCTATAGCGGTGGGCGGCCGCAAATGCAATATCCAAACGCCAAACTCGAGCTCAACTTCATAGTTTGAGGCCGCGCCTTGAAAAAACACGGCCTCAAATGAACCCATAATATGAACTTCGTGAATACCACACACGAGATATCATATAAAATAAGGTATTGTGAACAATATTGTGAAATTGCAATCTAGTAGTAGGATGTGGTTTTGGAACCTTCATTGATGTTTCTCAAAATTGTTAAGACAAGTGCAAGCAAATATTTTGATATGTTATAGATGTTGTCACTTTTTGTTTGCTTTCATGGGACGACGATTGCTTTTAACGCTTTCTATGTTACGATGAATTTATACTTCTCTCTTTTTACTCGAGTTGAATTTTCAAATGAGTCATTTGCAATGTGTTAGGATCTATGAAATTCTCATTTATTAATTTATTTTTTCTCTATTACTATTAGAGTAAATATATTTTTATTTATTTAGAGATATTGAAGTATGACTAACATTTTCATGCATAGATAAGTGGCAGATATGTAAAAAATATGAAGTTTAGATGTTAGATATATAAATACATAGGAATTGGGTGGCGTGTAAATAAATTTTCCCATTTCTTATACGAGATACTCAAAAAAATTATTGAGGTAAAAGGTAAATAAATATGATCCATATTAAGTTAGGCAAATTCTAAAATTTGTTGTTCTCTGCTTTGATTAATATTTTTTTCTTGAAATTACGGGTCTGTTTGGGGGCAGCTGTAGCTTATTGAATAATCTGTTGATAAGCTGATTAAAAATAATGTGCTGATAAGCAAGACGCGGTGACTATTACAAATTATTATTATTTTTTGGAAAAGTCTGACTGCTATCAGAAATTTGTCACTGCACCTAGAGTTGTGCGGTGTAAAAACGCTGTTTTCAGCGTTTTGAAAAAGCATAAGCTGCCAAAGCGCAGTTTACTCAAACAGGTCAAATGTGTTTTCAGAATACCACCGCACTAAATAAGCTGCCCCAAACGGGCCCTACATCTCTCTCATAATTAGCGTTGTCAAAACGGGCTCGTTGTTCGCGAACAACTCGTGTTCGGCTCGTTAAGAAGCTCGTGATTGACTCGTTCGCTAAGTTAACGAGCCGACCACGAACAACACAAACAAATATTTGTTAGTTCGTGTTCGGCTCGTTTTGGCTCGAAATAGTACTTATCAATTATATATATATCTTTGATGAGTAGTATTTCTTTTTAAATTTAATTGATTACAAGGCTAATATTTTTAATCAATTAAAAATATTAATGAAGAAAATAGAATAAAAATTATTAAATTCGATTCAAATGATGTTTTAAATCTTGCCCCAATCTTTAACATCTTATGGTTACATGATTAAGGTTGTCAAAATGACTCTTCGTTTGTGAACGGCTCGTGTTCAGCTCGCTAAGCAAACAAGCCGAACACGAAAACACACTTTTCAAGCCTGAAATATGAACGAGCCGAACCCGAGCTGAGCCTGGGCTCGCTCGTGTTCGGCTCATTTACACCCCTACTCATAATACTGTTATCTCACAAATTTATGTACAATAAATTAATATATGGTCATTCAATTGATGTTGATAAATTTTGAAGTTTATTTTACTTTCCTACTCCATAGTGGAAATTTTAAATGAGATTCAACAAATTAGTTAAATTTAATTTATCAATTTATATTATAGTTAAATTTATAAGGCAAAATGTTAAAAAGCAGCATTTTTTATGTTTTTTTTTAAATATTAAAAGCAAGTTTAATTTTTTTTTTATAATTAAAACCATCAAAATCGCACCCCATAGACGCGATTTCGATATTCATTGCTTTATTTATTTATTATATTATGTTGATCAATACATAATATGCATTTACTTATTTAGTTTTCTTAAATTTTTTATATAATTATTTCATGCATATATATTATATGTAGGGCTGCAAAAGAGCGGAGCTTGAGCGAGCCTAGGCTTAACTCGTGTTCATCTCATTCGAAAATGCTTGTGTTCGAAACTGGCTCATGAACAGTATGTCTGTGTTTTACTTGATTTAAAGATTTTTGTCCCTGTTAAGCTAGAAATTGTTTTGTGAAAATTAATTGAAAAACATAAATGTTGGGTGTTTGATTCAAACCTTCACAACTTTGTTCAATAGAAGACGCAGAATCACATGACCGCACAAGCTGTTTTGATTTAAACATGAATAATATATATATAATTTCTTTATTTCGAGCTAAAATGAGTCAGACACGAGTGAAAAAAGAGTTGTTCGTGTTCGGCTTGTTTATAAATCGAGCTTAAAAATTTCTCTGTGCTCGACTCGTTTACTTAACGAACAAACTGAACACGAGTTGTTGCGAACAACGAGCTTTTTTGTCAGCCCTAATTATATTACAATTCATCTTAATCGGAAATTTACATACATACCACTCAATTTTTATGCATTTACATATCTAACACTTATAATTTGATATTTACATTTATAAACATTGATATTAAAAATAGCATCAAAAGATGCATTTCTCTTTTAAAAGTTGCTGACAGAAATTTTTTTTATATCATATCAAAGATTTAAGTGTTGAATCCAAATATGTTGTTTGAATCACACCTAAGATATAGTCTAGAGAGAGAGTGTGTGTGTGTGTGTACAGCAACACAAGTTGTGATAGAGTAAATTCAGTAGTCATTTATTGGATAAATGACCCCTTATTTATAGGTTTCAGAGATATCTTGTGTAAAATTACTTGATTGTCTTTGTCTCAATAGAGACCTTATAAGTTATTATTACACATTTTTATATTTGTATCTAACTCTGACACACTTTCATAGTCATAACTAACATTGACACAATTTCATATTCATAACTACTTGAAGAGAGACATACTATAACTCATTATTT